GGTTGGCAACTAATGGCGTAAAGACCCTTAGCATACACCAAACGAGCACTGGTTAAATCTGCAGAACGCATAAAACAGAATTGTTCAGGAGGACACTTTTATAGGTGCAATAGTCACGGCTTATGGTATGCATTATCTTGTTTTCATTGCATCTGTTTATTCATTTTCGGAATCCAGTGTTTGCATTGCTAGAAGAAGAAGAGGAGGAGACTGGATTTATACCCCGCCCTTCACTATCCAAAGGAGTCTCAGAGCGGCTTACAATCTCCTTTCCCTTGCTCCTCACTTCTTCAGATACAGCTAGAATGGGAGTCCGTCCTTATATCTTGGAGAGAGTGGGGTGATTTCATATGTAAGGCAGATGGACTCCCATTCTTCTGTATCCGAAGAAGTGAGCCGTGGCTCACAAAGGCTCCTCCCTGCCACAAATGTTGTTCGTCTTTTAAGGTGCTCCTGGACTCTTGCTCTTTTCTACTGCTAGAATATGAGTCCATCTGTCCCTATATCTTGGAGAGGGGAGGGATTTCATAGATAAGGACAGATGGACTCCCATTCTTGCTGTATCTGAAGAAGCAGTGAGCCATGGCTCACAAAAGCTCCCGCCCTGCCACAAATGTTGTTAGTCTTTAAGGGGCTACTTAAATCTTGCTATTTTCTACTGCTGCAGACAGACTCACACGGTTACCCGTCTTTAACTGTTTGAATGTTTTACCGTCTCAAGTGCCATTTGAAAGGGAAAAACAAAAGGGCTCCTGCTTATCCCATCAAGTTCCTGGGCTGAGCTGAAAGACAAATAAAATCCTCATGACGGGGTGTGACAACCAGACTTTTAAAGAAATAACCATATCCATGCTACTTAGGGCTGCTCAGTCACAGTTGGGAACAGAATTTTGGTGGGAAAACCTGCCTGACAGTGGGGACATGCCAGGGATGGTGGGGTATAATGCTATAGAGTCCACCCTCCAAAAGCAGCCATTTTCTCCAGCAGAAGCAAAATAAATGTTTTACATAAATATGCAGTTTATGTACTGCTAGGATATGAGTCCATCCATCTGTCCTTCTATCTTGGAGAGGGGAGGGATTTCATTCTTGCTGTATCCGAGGAAGAAGCCAGCCGTGGCTCACAAAGGCGCCTCCTGCCCTGCCACGGACTTCCTGAGTCTCGAAGGTCCTCCTGGCCAATGTTCCCTCTAAGGTGTGGAGTCTTGTGAGCAGTGTTCCCTCTAAGCTGAGTCAGTGTGAGCCAGCTCACAGTTTTTTAGCTTCCGGCGCACACCTTTTTGTCTCAGCTCAGGAAGGGCGGCTCGAGAGCAAACTAATCGACGCGGCGGCCCAATCGCTCGCTCACAACTTTAATGCCAGGAGCTCACAAAGTGGGATTTTTGCTCATAAGACACCACGGCTTAGAGGGAACATGGCTTGTGAGCCAGAATTCTCCTTTGTGAGCGACTGGCCTTAAAGTGGTGAGCCGGCGCTTTGGCTGCTGCCTACATTAGTTTGCCCTGGAGCCCTCCTTCCTGAGCTAAGACAAAAATGCATGAGCCGGAGGCTAAAAAACTGTGAGCTAGCTCACACTAACTCAGCTTAGAGGGAACATTGGAACTAACCCTCTTTCCC